AAAACACATTTTTATGCCCTGGCATTCAATACACCATGAACGTGTTATTTAATTACCAGTAATTTCATTTATTTACTTATTTATTTATTTTTGGATTTTGTTTCATGTTTTATTTTGTGTCGTCCTCTCCATTTGTCTACTAGGTCGTATTTCCATGCTTGTCCAGCACTTTGGTCAGCTGTTATTGTTGTTTTTAAAGTGCTTTATAAATAAACTTGACTTGACTTTATGTTTTCATTTAAAATTAAGCTTGACACTTACCAATCTTGGTCACCACCTCGGGTCCTCGCAATTCGATTCCCTCCCCTGTCCTGGGCAACAATTAGCTACTTTGACACCGTCCTTTCTTGTAATGTTGCTTGTAAGAGCATTTTTTTCAAGCCACCTGTGAATAACAGAGCAAAAAAATGTTATTACTATTAATATTTTCACAAAGTATTTTTAAGTGTATAAGTGAACACTTTCTTATGACTGAAAATTTAGATTCTGCTTAGAGCTAGGCGATATGACCTTAAATCAATATCATGATTAATTAAAAATAAATCATTTTACCTCAATTATGATTAATGATTTTTTCCCCCTCATAGTTCACTGACAAAGTTAGTACTGTTAATATGTAAATATGCTCAACTATTAAAACTTGAATATTTTGTTCTAATAAAACAGTGCATATGTTATCTGTGGTTTTAAAATAATTTAAGGAAACTGTTTGAAAAGGACTTTTCGCCAATGTACTTTGTGTCATGATTGAGAAATATAGTCTTACCTCCTTCTCCGCTTCCCTTTCACCATTCCTCCTCCAGATTCTGACTTTGTGTGCTGGTCTGAGTTCCCCTCAGACTTCAAAAGTTTTGTTCTTGCATGGGCATAGTTTCCGGTAGATGATACATAAAAAAGGGGAATGCTATCGTTCCCTGTTTGTTTTTGATTTAGAAGCAATCGTAATCACATCATTATAACTACTTAAAGTATTACCTGCTTTTCCCAAGACACGCACTTTAAACTGTGGCCAGTCCGTACTCGGAAAAATGTCTTCCTTCGCTGCCTTGCTGATACTGACTTTTCCTGGTGGCCAGTAACAAGTATCTTCTGGTCCTTTGCATTAGCTCACAATACATTTGCGTTTTCTCCCTGGTGACCCATGTGATCAAAGATACGTTAGAAGAGAAGGGATCTAAGTAGATGTTATGGTAACCTATTGTAATAAAGTTTTAATTAAGCAACAGCAAACTGGCCGCCCAAATGTTTTTGAATGTCGCGCTATCTGCCCGCACTACCTTCGCGATCTACCGGTCGTTCGCGATCGACGTATTGGGCACCCCTGTGCTAAGCGATTTCCCTCCAAGAAGTACAGCTAAAAATATAGCAAGTATAGCTAATTTACCAAACTAACACC